GATAACTTGAAATCAGACTAATATCATCTTTTAGATAGGTGTTATGAAGGTGTTATAACATTTTTCATGTGTAGTCATACTATTAGACCTAAATTTTGATTTCATTGACTAAAATTTATTATTTAAAGATACCTAAGTTAATCTTAGGTCTCTTTTTTAAATGGGACAAATTCTGTCAAGTGATCAATCACAACTTAACAAAAAAGATTGGTGGCGACTCTTTTAGTCTATGTCGAGTGGTTAGTCCACAGATTTATATGTTATGAAAAATTTTACTAAATTTAAAACTAATGAGTTACCAAATAATAAAAAAAAAAAGTAAAACAAGCAAAAAATCAAGAAGTTTCGAACAAATCATTGAAGCTAGGTCATGTGTGTAAATTTGAAAACAAAACTGGAGGTAACTAAAACCATTCCCTAGTTTTTCACAAACTCTAGTTAGGGTTTATTCAAGTCCAAAACTACTAATTTTTTTCTTTTAAATTTTGGAGTTGTATTAATAAGGATGCAATATTAAAAGATAGAAAAGATTATCAAAGAACTCAAACTTAATCTAGTTGATTTATATATCCATCCTTAAAAGATGGCGTTTAACATGAATTTAAATTCTAACACTTGTAATTTTTTTTTATTCCTACTATTTCATTTAAATGATAAGGCTATCAAGGTTAAAATAACTTGGACAGATCATTGTTAAAAGCAGCATAAGAAGATTGCAATTCGGATTCCCTATGCTTACCAAAGAAAAAATGTTATCAGGTTTACCTTTATTTTTGCTGGTTCGACACCAAGCAATTAAGCGACAATTGGATTCTACTTTTGTTTGTTCTTTTAAGCATTTGAGTAAGATTATTTTCTCATCACAAAACCTATACTAATATTGGAACATCTTTATAACTAAATAAATAGGCGTAATAGGAGAATTAATGTTAGAAGTAAAGATTTTAATTCATCATGGAGATGTAGGAGCATAATCAAATAAAACCAAAAAAATGAAAAAAAAAAAAAAACAAACACCACATACAACTTAACAAATCAAACATCTAAGAAAAATCAACAAACAAAGGCCACAAATACAAAAAAAAAAAAAAAATGGTAAAACAACACATAATACAATTGATACTAACTTGAAAATTAATTAAGCAAGGAAAAAACCTTGAGAGAAAAAAATAGAAAGGATCAATAAAAAACAAATCAAAACTTGATTCAAACAACATGCAAAATAAAATAAATTATTTGTTAAAAATATTTTACATTTTCATAAAAACTTTAAAAATATATCATTTCAACATAAAAATGCCACAAAATATCTACTAAAAAACTATGTTTCCACAAACCAAACGATTACAACAATAATAAAACATGTAAAGACTCTTAAAGCCAATGTTGATACTAACAGCTTTAAAGTTAAATGGTAAAAAACAAGTGGAAAAAATGGTATATTATATGAGTTTGAGGAATTTCAAAATGTTACATCACTAATATAACAATAAGTTATGTTTAACAAAAAAAAAAGATATAAGAGATTGCATGACTTGATTATACCTTATATTAATACATATGATTCAACAAAAGAAAACTGACATTTTTTAGGGAAAGACTAACAAATTTACATTGAACCATATTTTCTTACGTTAGGTGTCCATGTTCCTTGTGCAATAATACTAAGCAGGTGCTCCTAAGAGACTTCACTAGCAAATGTAGTGTTAAGGTCATTTGCTTACAAATAGCCTTACCTTTCTCCACTCATTTGTCATACACACTTTGCACATTAATGGACATAATTATATAGAGAACTACTAAGTTAATGAATTGATCTAATCTATCTATTACTTTGTTAAGGTATGTGAAAAGCAATGCTTAGACTAAACAATATGCAAGTTAGAGGCTAGACTATAAGAGAATTCTCTAAAGTAGCTATTACTTGCATGAAAAAAAGTTCAAGAGTTCTCATAATTTTGTTCACCACAAAAAAAAAAATCCATAAACTTGTAGTCTTTAAACAGGCATAAGAATTGTCATTCTTGGCATTGCATCAATCCCACACTACATCAAAGACTCCAAGCAAGATATATGTATAGGTGATTACAGGCATAAATTTTTGTATACTATGACAAAGTAGTAAACTATAGCCTAAGCATCCTACCTAGTGTTCCATTCTTGTCTTGTAAATAAACCCTCCACAATAAAACAAAGTTGATGAAACCATGAATTTGTTCAAGGCTAATTCATTTTATTAGAAACATCATGGTTGCAATTCATACAAACAATTACCAACAACCTCTTCATCTGAGATAATAAATATACAAAGGATAAAATCTTTCAAAACCACAACAAAAACACATGAAATACCAATTTAATTATCCAAAAGGTGTGTTCAATTTAGTCTTTTACTAATAAGTAGCTATAACCATTAAAATTCACATTAACCATACAATAAAATTACAATGCAACACCATGAAACCCATCAATCAATGATTAGAAAAGCAACAAAGCAAAATCCTAAAACGGGTTTAGCAATTTTCAAATGAATGAGATTGAGATAGAAAAAGATTGAAGCTAATTCGTACCATTTTCTCCAATAGCCAAAACAAAGGCTTGGGTAGTTTATCTCAATCATACCAATCACATCCATTGCATTTATTTGGCTCTAGGTTTTGTAGGACTTGATTAGGATCTGCCAACAATTCAAGCAGAAAAATAATGATGTAATGGGTTGATTCGAGTTTAACCAAGAAGAGGTTGTTGGTCATTGCTTAACAAAAAAGACACCATACAAAAAAAAAAAAATCCAAACACAAAAACGAACCCATACCATAAAAACAACAATATTTTTTTAAACATGCAATAAAACCAAATCCTACTCAACTTAAACATACACAAACACAATCACAAAAACTAAACACCCATTAACCTTCAACTTAATGCCGAACAACATTCAACAATACTTACACAAAAAAACACTAATTAAAAACACAAACAATTTACAAAAAAACTCAATCCGACTATCATCTATACAACATGCGACAAATATTTTAGATAAATATTTTAGACAAATGAAAAATGCAAACCTCACAACAAATATTTTAGACAAATTAAAGATAAAAAAAAGTTATAACATTAAAAAATTTTATTTAATAACAAAAAATAAAATAAAAAATAAGAAAAACCCAAATCCCATTCAATGACTTAGCTCTATCAAATGAAATTGAAGTCTCTATCACCAAAATCATCCCAAGAAAATAAATAAATAAAAAAAATGAAACCCACATTTAATTAAAGAACAAAAAGAACCAAAAAAATTACCCAAAAACACATAAAAAAATAAAAACCAAAAGCAAAAGAGAATAACCAAAACACATACCAGTTCTGTGTGTTTCACGTTGGGATTCCTTCATTTGAAACCATCTTTAATGCTAGTAATAAAACATAACAGAAAAGACGCATGTAAAATACACCTTTCAAGTGGAAAAGAAACTTCCAAAATAAAAAGAGCAAAACATCCGATATACAACTAATAAGAAAGAAAAAAAAGGACTCTCATCGTCAGGATCTTTAAAGAATCCTTTTTATATAAAATAGTATTGATTTATTGAAATAATTGGAGGTTTTATAAATATTTTAGTATCTAAATTTATTTTTGTCATTTCTTTCTCTTTCTTTTTCTTTAATTTGGAGGAATTAAAAAATTGAATTTTTGAGAAAACAAAAAAAAACGTTAGGTATTATTAAAGAAAAGATTATCTCTTTTCCCATTTTTTCTTTACTTTCTTTCCTTTCTCTCCTCCCTCCTCAATCTAAACATAGACTAACAATTGTGATTAAGGATGTAAATGATATAATAGTACTTATAAGCTACTCGAATTTAACTTGAATAAAATTCGAATTTGACTTGAATAAAATTCGAATTTGACTCGATTATTATCGAATTGAGCTTGAACGTTAGTAGTTAAACTTATCGATTAAGTCAAATTTGAACAATCTTATACCCAACTCAAACAGCACACAAACCTAATTGAATTTTTATATTTTAATAAATAAAATATTTTGAATTCAACCTCAAGTATAAATAATCAAATTTTTATCGAATATAATAATCAAATTTATTTTAACATATTAATCGAGCATAATCAAATAATTTAATTTTTATTTCGAGTCAAATTCGAATTTAATACTGTGTTAACTGAAATTTAATCTATTATACCCTTAATTGTGATATTGAAGTGATTCTTAAAATTTTTGATGAGTTAAAAAAATTTATGAGTATAATACTTTTTTAGTCAAATAAATATAAAAATTAACTCTTCGGGATGAATCAAAAATTAAAAAAAAAAATCAGTAACCTTTTTTATAAAATTAAAAATTTCAACAAACTCTTAAAATAATTATATTAGCTTCAAGTTTTATAAACAAATGCCAGGCTTTTCCCAGTCAAAGCACCAGGTGAAAGAAGGAAACAGTGTTGTTGGTTAATTGAAACTGGACCAATCCCAAACAATCAAAGACAAAAAATTTACCAGTGAGATAAGGTAAAAACCAAAGGATTTTGTTTGCACAAAGAAAATGAAGAGCATCACCATGCTACTGCTTGCTTCTTACTCTTCCTCCGTCACAAGCCTAGAAGTCATGGAAAAATCTTTTTCTTTGGTAGTACTTATTTTTCCGGATAATAACCTTAGTCACGAAGGTAGACATATAAAAAATTATGCACAAATGAATTTTACTATGTTATTTATTTATTTATATAATTAATAAATATTAAAATGTAATTCATAATAATTTGTTAAATTTAATAAATAAATAAAAATAAAATATATTTATGACCTCTTCGTCCAATATATTATTCATTTATATATAAAAACATATAAATAAATTTTATTATAATTATAATTTAGATATTTAATTAACATATCCCCACATGATCATTTATTAAATTTAATAAATAAAAATAAACAAACCAAGATCGGATATGTTTTATTACATCTTTTGCCAACCATCCATCGATCTGCCTATCCAATAATATATTTTCAGTCAACCTTTGACTCTGGCCTATCCCTCTTTTATTTAACCACCCCCAAACCTAACATGATTTGTATCTCTGATCTCAGTAGCAGAATTTGGATCATCTTCTTTTATGTATGTTGATCATTCCTTGATTCCTTGCAAGTTACATTTAGAATTGTTTCAGCAACTCATTATTTTTCCTTTATTTGTATCTCTTACTTTGGGTCTTTAGCCGGCTTCAGTGGACAACATGGAATCCGGCGGTAATCCATTGTACAGCTGCAGAAACTGCCGAAATCCCCTTGCCCTTGGCGATGATCTTATTTCTAAAAACTATATAGTTACTGCTATAACCTTGAGTTCTCTTTTGTTTCTATTTTTTCTCTGAATTACAGCCTAACTTTTATCTTTTTTTTTACTCCATTGATTTGGTTGTAACAGGCAAGATCAGGGAAAGCTTATATGTTCCATCATGCAATGAACATTGTTTTGGGGCCAAAGCAGGACAGACAGATGTTAACTGGGATTTACAGCATTGCTGATATCTATTGCAGCAAGTGCGGTGAAGAACTGGGCTGGAAATATGTGCAAGTTTATGACTTGAAAAACAGGTTCAAGGAAGGGAAGTTTGTTCTCGAAAAACTTAAGATGGTTGAAGAATACTAACTTACTGGTAATACCCCTCCTTGAAAAAATAAGGAAATTGGATGATCTCGGATTGGAAACTATACTTCTACTTTAATTTATGAAACTTGGAAATCTATGTTCGAGTTTTATGGTCTGAATTTAAATATCTGCACTTGTATAAATTAAAATTATGTTGGAAACTTTACTTATTCTCTTGTTAATCTGAGATATGCTATTAAGGCTATTGCTATATCAATTCAAAAGGGCTAATTCGGGTTTCATTTGAATTCATCTTGAGTCAAAATTGAGTTCAATTCGAACGGATGGTCGAATCAGGTTTCATTGATAGTTGGCTTTTGTGGGTTGAATTTTTTTCCTGGTAATTATGATTTCATTTCTGATCAAGCTCTTATTGTATTATAAGCACTATGAAGGCTTTACGAGTAAACTAAATTTCTATAATCGATCTCAAATTTACTGCTAGTAGTCTATTATTGTGAGATTTCAAGCAGTTTAGAGAAAATTAAAAAAAAAAAAAAAAAAGGGAGGCACACAAAACAAAATGGTTAGGGAAAGAAATGTTTCCGATATTATTTTTCTGCTGGTAATTGGTTACTCACCATGGATATATGATTATAGATTGCTTCTAGCCAACCATTCATTTTCTCCCTTTCCAGTAATAATACTAATTTTTTTTTTAAAGATAACACATGCTAAGATAAGTTACATGGATTGATGAGATTAATTAAGATGATATTAAAAAAACAATGGTTAAATATAAAACTGACGCATGTATTACATATTTTGATATTTAAAAAAATAAAATTTTTATTTCTGTAATCAAACTTTCATTTTATCAAACAATTTGATACTTCATACTAACATGTTAGTCAAGTTGCATAAGTGATATTAATATCCAAAAAAATTATAAAACATTCTATAAATGTTCCATGCCATCTTTTTTTTTAATTTCTTATTATTTTTTTAAAAATAAGATTTTTTCTTTTATTTTTTAAAATTTTTTTGATGTGATGATAATTAAATATTTATTACATATAATATAATTTTATTAAATATTTATATCACACCATCACTTAAGATGATAAAGTGTAAGGTATCAAAATGTTTAATAAAATAACAATTGAAGTATTAAAATAAAAATTTTATTTTTTTTAGATATTAAACTGATAAAAAAAATAATAAAAAATTATTTTACATATTAACACTTCAAAATTTTGATATTAACTTGCAAAAGAGAAATTCGATATCATTAGAAAAAAAATAGAACTAAAATATAATAAATAAAATAATTTATATATTTATATTATATATATTTTATGTTAAAATATATATAATAAAAAATTATTATATTATAATTCATATCAATATCTAAAATATAAAATATATTTTATTACTTTTAAAATTTATATATAATTTTGATTAAAATTTTAAACCACAGTATTTAAACTTTATCCCTGTTAAAAGATAAAGTCATAATTAATATGAAAAGTGAAAGATTGCAGATCGACTTTCTGACAGACATAAGGAGAGATGTAAATTTCCTTCAAGGGATAGCCTTAACTTCATGCGCCTCTGTCGCGTCTCAACAAACGATGGATGTTTAAGCTTCAAGTAAGGAAAGCGGACCCTCCTTTAAACGACAATTCATTCCCCTTAGCTAGTTGGAACTGACGTTAAATGCGCATATCACGCTCTACATCCCACGCGTGTGAAATACTACCGCCCTTTCTTCAACAAAAAATCTTTTTTTTTTTTGACATAATAAAGGTAAAGTTTTAGTGTAAATAAAAAAATTTTAATTTAAAATTTAATTTTTTATATTTTTTTAAACGTTTTTAATAACTGGACTAAAAGTTTTAAGATCAACAATAAAAACTATCAGCCTCTACCTATATATTAAATTTTGTTTAATTTTGTAAAAAATGAAAAATAAAGCGGTTATTCACGTGACCTTATTTTTAAAAAAATATTTTATGTTATTTGTTAAATTTATTTTTTGTTTATTTTTGTTTATTTTTTTAATTTTTTAATTTGTTTTATTTTTAATTTTACTTTTTATGAAATAAATTTTATAAAAAAATTAATTGGAGTATAAATGATCAAACAATTCGTATTTGATTAATTTCAATTCATGTTAATTTAACATAAATTTTGTTTTGGTTAAATCAAAATTTTTATTAAAAATTAGATCGAATTGAAAATAAATTTAAAGTATTTCACTTTATCTCAAGTATGTAAGTGGCACCTCTCTCTTTTTGTTTGTATTTTTAATTTCATTTTTTAGAACTTTTGATTTTTTGGGATATTATTTATTTATTTTGTTAATTTTATTTTTTATTAAATTACTTTTATAATAAAAAATCAATTGAGATAAAAATTAAAAAAAAACTTGTAATTGATGAGTTTCCATTCACAATAATTCAATTGATGTATTTTTTTTAATTCAAGATAATTTAATTAAATTTTTTTTAAGTTGAGTTTAAGTAAAAATAAAATTTTGGTGTTACGCCTTAATCATGGTATCTTAGCAAACGACTTTTATTTTTAATTTTTTTATATTTTTCACATACCTTTTTCTATATATATATATATATATATATATGTAACTCTCATTTTTTTAAAATTTATTTTCTTTCGTCTTCCTTTATAAATTACTTCATTCTCTCGTAACTCTCTCAAAAAATAACATGAAAAAATAATCATGCTAATGAAACGGGAGGTGTTCCAATAAAATCTAGGTTCAAAGATTATATGTATTTTATATTTACCTTTAATTTGGGTTTATATTTCTTAAATATTATTATTATTATTATTTATAAAAAAATACACATATATTTATTTATATCTTATCTAGCATTAAAATTTAACATAAAAATATTATTTTTTATACTTAAAATATAATTTTAAAAAATAGAGGAGCAATAAAATAGAGGTCTAATTCTAGTCTTGAATATTTGTGAAAAACAAAAAAATCTCAAAATCTTATTTTTTTTTAATCTCTCTGTAAAATATTTATAATTTAGTTTTAATCGAATTAATTAATTAAATTAATTTAATTAGGTTAATCGATTATTCATCAAATTAATTTTGATTGATTAATAAAAAATAAATTTTAAAAGATTTTAATTTTTTATTACTTCAATTTGAAAAAAAAAAATCAAAATTTTAATCGAAATATAAAAAATTAAAAATTAAATAAAAATATATAAAATAAATCATTTTATTTTATAAGTTATTAGAACTTTTAATATAATATTTTAATATTTGAATATGTTGTTAAATAATTTTATTTAAGTTATTTAAAATATAAAAAATTTAAAATTTAAAATATAATTTAATTTAAATATATTTATTATTTAATTAATAAAAATTAATTAAACTGATTGAATTAATTCAATTTAATTAATAAAAATAAAATAAAATAAAATAGAATAATTAATTTAATTTTAAATAATTTAATTCGAAATTAAACGAAATGACGTATCTCTCTCTCCATGTTTCTTAGAGGCTCGTGCTTCTTTAATGAATACCAACTCTCACTCTCAAAGGTGAGGACAGTAATGAAAGAAATTTGTAAATCCTCTCAAGCTTCTTACGTTGATTGAGTAACCAATGAAAAATCTAGTTCACACTCAAGCAGAGAATTTGGACATTCTTAGATTTACAAAAGTCAAGAAACCAAAAAAAAAAAGAAAGGCCCTTCTTTTCTTTTTGGCTAATGACTGATGTTTTGGTTTTACAGCTCACATCCTCATCCATTTCAGTTGTAATATTCGATTTGTCAATGGGGTTTCTTCTCTTATTTTATTTCTTTTTTTTTTTTAACTTCAAACTTTTCTTGAAAATGGATTCGTGCTTTCTTTTTCTTTCTTTTCTTTTTTATTTAGTTTATTAATGTCATTAGTATTTTAAGTTCCAATCCTGTCTTTGTCACACACCCATTTGTTTAATCAGATTTTTATTTTTTGGGTGCAAAGGGGGGTGCCTAACAATAACAAGGGAGAGGGGGACGGCGGAGTCGAATTCACGCCTATATGATTTTCAATCGGTCTCTTAATCACTAGACTAGGTTAAGAGGGGAAGTCAGAATTTTTTTTTTTTTTTATCTTATAATGAATCTTTGCTCTCCTTGTAATCCACTTCGGTTTAAACTTGTACGCAAATACTTAAATTTAGTTCTCAATCTCTTTTTGGAGTGTTTTAGGTGAAGAGTTTCATCTTTTGTTCTCTTTTCTTGTTCATGTGTTGATTTTGGGTTTTTTTTTTTCTTTGCTTTGCTTTAAGTTGGTTAGCTGCTTTCTGGTTGTGCTTTGATATTCCTTTTCATTTTTCCCCCCTTTTCTTGGTGTGTTTCTTTTGTCAGTGACGACGGTGTTCGAGCCTGAAAGTTATTGATCAATGGCCGAATCCTTGGTTCCACGATTGTACAGCTGCTCTAATTGTCGAAACCCTGTTTCTCTCCACGACGATATAATTTCCAAGTCTTTTCAGGTAGAGCACAAAAGATTCTGAATTTGTCTTTTGAAATTTTAGTAGCACCTTTCCCTTTATGTGGTAGTTTCAGACTTTTAAATTGGGCGTGCATTTTTTCTGCACATATGATAATTGGATTGAAACACTTCATAAATAGTGAATAAGAGAGTGGAAATTCAAGTGCTTTTCTTGAAAGTAATGATCATGATATCAAGTAATATGAAAGCTTTGCACTTGTTTATACCAGCCTTGGTCCATAACTTGGCGTATATCTTGCGCAATGTGAGCATAGTTAGGAAAAACTGCATCATCTGATATCAATATGAATCGATTCGAGCATTTCAGAAAATAATCTCATGTTTGACCGTGATAAATGATCTGAGGGGACTTCTGCCCGACATTCTTTACCACAATTTTGTTCTTATAGGGAAGAAATGGCCGGGCATTTTTGTTCTCCCATGCAATGAATCTAACAACAGGACCAAAAGAAGACAGGCATCTCTTATCTGGTCTCCATACTGTTGCCGATATTTATTGTGCTGATTGCCATCAGGTGTTAGGTTGGAAATATGAGCGAGCTTATGAGGCATCGCAGAAGTACAAGGAAGGGAAATTTATACTTGAGAAGGCTAAGATTGTTAAGGAGAACTGGTAGCACCTGCACCATTTAAGGGTTTCATTCCACTTATTCTTGTGTTGATGTGATTTCATCAATGCTCCACGTTCATCTTGTGCAGAAACTTGTAACCCATTTGGAAAATTTTCCTTGTTTCCCACCGTGCATTCGTAACATGTACTACATCCAGAGGATCCATGATGGATTGGCAATTCCCATGTTAATAAATTTATGGTATTGTCAACTACCCACCATGACTTTCCATTGTGTAAATACCTGTGAATGAAATGGTTGTTACAGGAGTTTGAGACACTTTTCCTTTCCTCCATCCCCTTGATGTCCAGGCTATTGCACAAAAGCCTTTTGTTTTGGCAGGAAAGGAATAGGTTTCTCAATGAAAGATTGGTTTTTCAAGCTCTAGGAGATGAAACATTATATCTTCTTGCTCAGATTAGTTAGGTTGATTGGTTTGGATAGTTGGATGCTATGGTAGCTGCAGGCTGATAGCGCTTGGCACTTGTTTGAATAGCTTATACTAGTATCTTTCATAGTCTGCCATGTCAATGTTAGCTCAATGTTTAGCAATGTTGGAAGAATCTGGACTTTTAGCGTAGAGAGCAGCAGGACAAATACAAAGAACCATTTGCATTTTGCAGTTGATTTAGTTTGACACTGAGCTGAGAAACAGTAATTTTAAAATGGGGTGTTGTGATATTATTTTGTTCAAATAAAAATATTTTCATATTTACCATGCTAAATGTTCAATTTAAAGGATTAAAAAAGTATTCCAGTTTTAAAAAATGGTTAAAATGCTTTTTTTTTTTTTTTAATTATATCACTTTATTTAGATAAAATTTTATATTTTATTGTACCAAATAAGTTTTTATTTTTTATTTATATTTAAATAAGTTCTTTTTTCAAACAATAACCGATTTATTTATATTAAAGGTTTAGTTAAGTTCAAATTAAAAATTAAAAATTTATTCAAATGCAAATTAAAAGTTACGAGTTTATTTAAGTATAAATTAAAAATTTGTTTAGGTATAATAAAATTTAAGGGCTCATTAAAAGGATTTATTTGAATATAACAAAAATTTAAAGGTTCATTTAAATAAAAATGATAAAATTGAAAAAAAAATTTAATTAATTTTTTCTGTTTCAAGAGAGAACATAATTCTTGTGAAAAGACGGGAAGATCTTAACTCGAACCTAATATCTCGTCCTCATAAAACCTTCTTAACCTTAAAACATCATCCTCAAGCATTTGTCCTTTTTATTGTTGGGTTTGCAATAGGCCTTTAACCTTGGGCTGCCGCCTTCTACATTTTTTTATATTAAACGACATAGTTTATGCCATTCCGTATTTTTTCTTTCTCGTTCTTCGCCTATTAGATTCAGATTTCCCTCATCTGGAACTGCCATCCTCCGACCTAGGACCTACGTGCCGCACCTCCGTCTAGAGTCAAATGTATCGCCGGAAAATTTAGTAGCGGATCGTAGGTGCTCTATATTTTACAAATACTCTCTGTTGTCTTGTTTCTCTCCCCCCAATTTTTCCATCTCCAAATTTTCCTCAAAACAAACACAGGGTCAAAAGGAAAGTTAAGGGAGCTTCAAATTTAACAGAGAACACAGTATTAATATTTAAAAAAAAAACACAGATGAACCTGAAAGAAGCTTTATGGAGCAAGCAATCAGATTCCAACGAATATCCATCCCCATCATCATCATCGCGAAGGGACCCAGAATCAGAAGCAGCATCGACTGCTGCAACGAATGTGGTTGGTGAGCTAGTTAACTCTCTCAACAAGCAACGAATCTATAGAGAAGTCACCCTCGCTCTCCGCACCGGCCTCCGTGACGCACGCGCCGAGTTCTCTTTCCTCCGAGTTCGTGGCCTCCGTTTCCTTCTTAAATCCCTCCGATCCATAGCCCAGTCTGACTCCTCCATCATCCTCTTTTCCCACACCCAATCCATCCCCGACCTCCAAGGTTCATCATTTTCAAATCCTTTAAAAAAAAAAATCTCTGAGTTTTTTTCTTTATTTTTATTTGTGTGTGAAATTTGGGTTTTTTGGGGACAGTGGTTCCTGTGTTGTTTGAGCATTCATTCAAGGAAACCGAGGATGATAGAGTGGAAAACTTGGATCATATATTCACTGTGGAGCCAATGAAGATTAACAGTCCTTCCACGGATGCGGAAGTTGCTCTTGCGCTCAGAGTCTTGGAAGGCTGCTGTCTACTTCACCCTGAAAGCACTCGTTTGGCCCATCAACACAAAGCCATCCCGGTAATTCTATATATACGTTTAAGAAAGTATAAAGGCTTGCCAGAATTTCGGTTTAGATTTGCACTTTTATAGAAAGATGTCTTGCATTAATGAGTGACAGTCCTCTTGTTGAGGAGAAATGGGAGTTGGGATTGAAAAGTGAAGATTGGATATTGTTGTGGAACAGTTTTAAGCATGTCACTTTGTGTCAAAACAAACAATTAGCGTGCTATTTGACAGCTGCAATTTGCCTGCATTTAACCACTATATTTTGGGGAATATAGATCTCAATATTTAAATGTAATCTTCGAGTACTTGTTATGATGCAGGTTTTGATGAATGTCTTATCAACAAGAGGAGTACTTGAACAAGGTGCATGCCTGGATGCTTTAATCTCGATAATGTTGGATTCCTCATCCAATCAAATGGTATTTTATCCATTCTTTGGCTGTGCTAATGTGTTACGCGGTAAACTTTGCTAATATTTTAGTTTAAATTTATAGTCTAGCTAGTTTTATTTCCATTTTTTTGGCCACCAATTTTTATTAGCAGTTCTCTATGCTAATGCTAAGCCTACTGACCTATTTCACCGCATCTTCATGGTTACATAACCTTGAATTCTGTTTCAGCTTGTGTGATTACTTTGTAAATTCATTTCATGCCATTGAGAAAGCATTTTGATCTTACTTCTTAAATAAGTTTAGTTGTCAAAGATGATGTTTAGCTCCATCAATAGTCAATGTGAACGATAGAAAAAATGTTCTTTTATAGCCTTTTGGTTTCTAGGGGAAAAGATGAAAAAGGAAACACCCAACTTTACTTCTTTCCCCTCAATTTTGGTTCTTTTATTGATGACGATATAAGTTGCCAGTTCTCTCCTGTGCCTTCTCAGCTTTCATACAAGTAATAGGGATTGGTGACTTCCAGCCATTTGACATGATTAACACTATGGGTTCTAAGAACTTAATTATTTTCTCAAATATTGACTTAATGTTCGTCAAAATCCTCTCCAACCTGCTAGTCAAATGCCTTTGGAAAGGATGTTTCTTAAAAGAAGAATACTTCGTAATAGCCATTGTATTGGATATTTAGTTTTGCAACAGTCATATTATTTCCATCTCATAGGTCTTCCCAGAAACTTGGTTCTCATTGAAGCCTAGTTTTGGCACTAAAACAGAAAAGGTTTAATAAGGATGGGAAACACTCAGGTTAACTGGTCGTGAGAACAGCCTCTTTAACCCCAGATTTGAGCGGAGGTTTTATCCTAAACTTTGTAGCAAAAGAAAGGCTTCCTTACTTTTTCCCTGGATTTCTGGTGATGATATCTTTCATATGTCCATTCCATCCGGTGTATGTGTGCATAATGTTTTTAGTATTACTCCCTAGGATTTTGAAGCATGCAATGGCATTGAGGAAGTTGCAGAGCTCATACGAGACAAGCAAGTGGATGAAAATCTCAGGTACATGAAGATAGTAGCTGGGATATTTATTTCAACGCCTTGTTCTCTTTTTCTAATTCTCTTGTTTATTTTTTTATTAATGTCTATATCATATGTGGTAATCCCAGTGAAAATAAATTAGGAAATGTATTATTTTCTCAATGAAGTTTGCCCATTGATTCGTGTAGATGACATTGATCTCCCAATGCATATTTGTCTTTTTAATGCTATCCTATGTCTCACTGATTCATTTAACTGAAAAAGGAATATTATTCTGCTGCTTAGGTTGAAATGCGGAGAGTTTTTGCTTCTACTCAAAGGACATGTAAATGGGATGGAAAGGTCTCCCATGGCAACCATTAGTGATGACTTAAGACGACTTTTAGGTGAAGAATCTGCTTCCTTGATATGGGCAGCAAGTCAATTTGGCTCAACTCTTGATCCAGACCAGAGACTGACAGCTCTTCACATCCAAGCTCGCAGGGTTCTGGAATCCCTAGACTTGTACTGAGTTTTAATTCATACTACTCTTGATGTTACTAGTTCCAAGGAATGGTTCATGGTGGATTTAGAAGATTCCAAGATGTTATTATGGAACCAACACTATGTTGGGTTTTAGTGACTGCTAGTTATGATGGGGGAGAATGTTGCAGAAATTCAGATCTGTGATTCATTGTATACTCGGTACAAATGATACAAAGTATTAAGTGTCGTGCATTTACAAAGCAAATGTTTTCATGTGAAGGGTTAGTTTATCCAAAGTAGCATAGATGTCTTCTGTTTTCTCATGAGACTTGTCATATGCAATAAATACATGGATATCATCCCTGTCCTGAATCCAACTACATCCTGGATTCTTAAACATTCCACTGTCTTTAATTTTCTGTCTTGTTCTTGCTACATCAGACCATTTTTCAGCATAAGCATATAAATTTGCCAACAATACATAGTTACCAGTATTATTTGGCTCCAACGCTATAAGCCTCTCTGCTGCAATTTGTCCCAACTCAACATTACCATGAAGAACGCAGCCACCAAGCAAGGCGCCCCACGTCACTGAATCAGCTTCCATTGGAACTCTCTTGATAAGTTCATAAGCTTCGTTAAGCTGACCTGCCCTACTTAGCAAATCAATCATGCATGTATAGTGTTTTATGGTGGGTTTGACATCATATTGCTGCATCAAACAAAATAATTCCTGAGCCATCTCAATCGACCCAACATGAACACATGAAGAAAGAGCGGAAAGAAAAGTGACATGATCTGGCCTAAAGCCATTTGCTATTATTCTTCTAAAGAGAACAATTCCATCCTCCCCGTGCCCATGCATGGCATATGCTGTGAGCATGGCATTGTGGGACACCAAATTTGGGTCTGAAATTCTATTATTTGCTAGTAGTGCATGCTGTATGCTCCCACATTTAGCATACATGTCCACAAGGGCTGCTCCTATGTAGACATCAGTATCATAACCACATCTAATTGAATGTGCATGAACCTGCTTTCCCCGCTCAATGGTGGCCGACCTTGAACAAGCAGGTAGAATTATTCCAATAGTGTAAATGTCAGGCCTCATAGTTGAAGTCTGCATTTCAGAGAACAACATAATGGCTCTATCGTGTAGATCATTTTCCACATGACCTGCAATAATACCATTCCACGTATGAGCATTTGGCTCAAAACCATCTTCTTTCATTTTTCTAAGCAGATGCTGCATGTTTTCAATCTGATTGCAGCGGGCAAAGCCAGATATCAAAGCATTCCATGTTGCTGTATCACGCTCACTTACTTCATTGAAAGCATTTTGAGCAGCCGTTAGGTCTTGACATTTGCAGAACATTTCTACCAATGCTCCACCAACAAAGGTATTAGATTGCAGGCCTCTAACAATTGCTTGAGAATGTATCTCTCTACCAAGTCTCAAAGAAGCCGTGTCAGCACAAGCTGTTAGAGCACTTCCCAGAGTGAAAGAATCAGGCTCAATTCCATCTTCCATCAGAATATGCTTAAATAAGTTCAAAGCTTCATTAAATAGGGAGTTGTTTACATATCCAGATAACATAGTGTTCCATGAAATTATATCCTTCTTGATAGTCATGATACCCATCTGATCAAATAGCTCCTGGGCCTTTGAGACATTACCATTTTCACAGTACCCAACAATCATTGTATTACAAGAAACCACATTTTTCACTGAGAACTTTGAAAACAAATGGAAAGCGCTTGTCATATCACCACACCTCCTATACACATCAATCAATCCATTGACAGCAACAGGGTTAGACATAAACGAACGCCTAGTGATATATCCATGAAATTCTTTGCCAAGCCTCAACTTCTGTAATCTAGCACAAGCTGGAAGAACGCTTGCTAGAGTTTGTGCATTTGGTTCAATGCCTTCCCGTACCATTCTAAACAACATCTCAATGGCTTCCTCATCATAACCATTTTTTGAGAAAGCCCCAATAACCGCACTCCAAGAAACAAGATTTGGTTTTGAATTCTCAAACAAAGACATTCTTTCAAAAAAACTCAATGCTTCATAAACCTTCCCATTGGTAGCACAAGCGGTAACAACGGCATTCCATGACACGCGATCCTTTTTAAGCATTGTCTCTAGAACTTTCTTAGCATCATCCAGGCTTCCACATTTACCATACATATCAATCAAAGCATTACCTACATAAATATTAGAAACAAACTGATATTTAATCAAAATCCCATGCAGTTGTCTTCCTATTTCCACATTACCAAGACCACCACAAATTTTTAATATAACAGGAAACACAAAAAAGTCCAATAAAACATCCTCAAACTGTAGTTTCTCAAAAAGCGAAAAAGCTTCTTCAAAAAGCCCATTATCAACATACAAACTAAGCATAGCTGTCCAAGCATACAAGTTTCTTAGCGTCATTTTATCAAACAACAAATCCGCGTCGTCCAAACAACCAAACTTCCCATACACTTGGAGCAACTTGGTGTCCACAAACTCCTGCCCGAAAAACCCAGTCTTGAAAGTATGAGCATGGACCTGTTTTCCTAGGCTTGGGTTATTGCAAGATTCGAGAATTGAAGCATAGGTGCTTGAACTTATTGGCTTATCAAGCAAGGAGAGAGTGTTGGGCATGTGAGGGTAAGGGTGAGGTTTAGGGGGATTTTGGTTTAGTGGTGGGATGGTGATGGATTCCCACAATTGAGCAATCATTTTTTGTGAATGTGGGCAGTAGTAGGCGGTAGCCAACTCAAGTACCAGAAACGGAAAGCAAGGGAGTCACCAGCATGTGCAGCCTCATTAATATTGTCTTGACACAATTCTGGAAAGATATTTATGGGTTTGTTTGGTTACAAGGACGCCCATGCCCCAATTATGGGCAGATAGGAGCCTTTTTTCACTCTACCCTTGATGCATTATAACGTAGTAATTTTTTCTCTCTCAAATACAGTATCATTTTAACCAACATCAATAAATACCTTGTTGATATAATTTCAACTCAGTGGAAACTGAGCTGAAAAGTGTATCGAAATTAAAAAAAAAAAAGAAAAAAAGAAAGGTCAAGTGGCGTTTGAGGTGATGCTTTAGGACGTTCCAACATTAATTCAGCAAAAAATTTATCAAATAAATACAGCAAAAATGGAGAGAGTTGAGTTGTATATTCGTATTCGTATTCATTTAACAATCAAAATTGTTATTGACATGGTCATTAAAATATAATGTAATTATCACCGATTCATCATTTATTTTATAATAAAATTACACTATTTTATTTATTTTTTTTGAGAGATTACAATGTTAAAATTATAATTAACTTTGAATCATTATCTTAAACTTTAAAAAACAAGACCCTTTTTGGGAAGTAAACTGCTTGGCTATGCATTGAAAGAAATGATTAAGATGGAAGTTGTCAATTGGATAATTCATTTTAACAAGGGCTTGACTTTAGTGTCTTTATTTTAACTCTATTTTTTCTTTTCCCTTGTTCAATTTTCCTTCCTGCAAAAAAAAAAGTAGATAAAATTTTCAATATTTCTCCACCTGCTTTTTGTTTTTAATCTGTTAAAGACTCAATAATGTAAAGCAGGCAGGCAGTACCCAGAACTGTAAATTGATAACTTTCAATACGAAAGCCCTACAACACCTCATTTCGGATAAAAAAAAAAAAAGAAAACCATACCAAAGAAATTAAAAACATCTATTCAAGCTCTGTTCTACTTGCATTACCTGTTGTGGCATATATATAAATAATAGAATTATCCCGCACGACAAAACTTGATTTGTCCTTGGTAGGAAGTTGTGGCCATTGATATTTAGTGGAGAGCCAATGAACCAAAACAAAGAAACAAAGCGTTATATGTAGATGACAAGGTCAAATCTGATGGTGACATTGTCACTGACTATCAATATAGCTTAACAGTTTCATATGTGACGCCCCCTGTAGCTAGCTACGTGCAAGTTGCGTGGCCTGTCTACGCTTTAATGGAAAAACCACACAAAATTAAGCCTGCAGCTTTGGTACAAGCAATTTTCTTGGAGAGTCATGGTTAGAGGAACTACTCTTGTGGAGATCAAAACAACTTCAGTTACATAAGCTTTGAAGCTAGGAACTGCTCTTGCTTTCAGGTTTTTTCATTGTTGTAGATCACAGTAGATCATTAAGATAAAGTATCAATAAGGAGTTAGCTCAATTGATGAGTTTAATTGCTTCGACAAGTATTTTTTTTTCCCATAAATTGATTTTTTGGTTTGGATCGATGCATGATTTTTGTGAAGTGTAATACATTTTTATTTTGACTTTGAACAATTAATACGATAATTTATATATTTATATTTATTTATTTTATATTTGATATATATAATAATAAAAATTATTATATTATATTTTATGTCGATATATTAAATATAAAATATATTTTTTATTAAATTTATATAAAATTTTATTATAATTTTAAATTATATTATTTTATATTTTTTATGTTATGTTATTGTATATATCATATTTAAAATTAATTTAAATTATATGACTTTCAAATTCTCTACTCAATAACTTAATAGATGGAATGACTTGTAGAGACTACGGTGAGAGTGGCCCATAAAATTATAAACAAAAACATTTTAAAAACATATATGATGATTCAGTTTCTTTGTTATTTGTGATTAGGGCTAGAATTATTACGAAACCATATGCAGGCAAATATTTCTAAAGGCATATTATATTCAGACATTTCTTTGTATTTCATTGGTTAAAGTTGACGTACACCTCTTGAATCTTAATCCACCGATCATAAACAGTAAAAAGAAGGCTGAAAAAACCTGGTAAAATGTACAAAAATTCTAACCATCACCGACACTCTAGAGCCTGATGATTCAAATGGTTGAAAATCTTGCCCCGTCTCATTGACAATTCGAGGAGAGCTAAAAGAAAACCATACCAAGGAAAATAATAATAATAATAATAATAATAATACGGTGTCTGAGGCCTCTAGTTCGGCAAGAAAGAGACCTCCATTATGTGTGGGTGGTGGTAACTGGTGAACCCTCAATTCACGGCTTTGAAACACCCTTCTTAACGGTGAACACGTTGAAAAAAATAGTACTCTCTCCGTGATTTTTTTGTCCATTTTTTTATGTTATATAATTATGAAAATTTAATTTTATAAAGAATTTTTAAATTTTAATATTGAATATATTAAAATTAAACTTTTTTTATTCCGTTAAAATTAATGGCACTCTCCATATAATTTGAAAGAAAAGAGTAATATTTCGTTTTTGGCGTCCAAGAATGTATATTCTAGTTGTATATATTATGGAATCTAGCACATAAGGACTATTTCTGATAGATTTTGCAACGAGTGGAGGAGATTATTCTAAAGCATAGCTCCCAAGGAGAATGTTTGTGGGTCCAATCCATGACCGAAGATGGGAATGCTAGTCAAGCTGAGAGCTTTTTAATCTTCGATTTTACTAATAAAGAAAGAAAATATGGTGGGATATGGGGAAGTAATGGTAATTTCATGGAAATGGAGCACATTGCTATACAAGAATTTTCCGACACCAAGATAACGAAACCATGATATACATATATGTATTTTTATACATGGGTTACTGGTGAAATGGGAGGAAGATACGAGTCTAAGAAAGCCATAAAAGAAACATATCCCTAATTAGATATAATAATTTATGTATTTATATTTTTTTATTTCATGTATTAATAACACCGATAAAACGTAAAAATAATTTTATTATAATTTATGTCAATTCATTAAAACTAAAATATATATTTTTAAAATTTTCAATTATATATAAAATAAAATTTTAAATCATATTATTTTAATTTTTTTATTATGTTATTATTTCATGTTTAAAATTATCGTATTTATTACTAATTAGTTTGCCTATTTAAGTAATCTAGACCTTGATCTAAATTTATTGAAATAGTAATATTTATTTCACGAAATCATTCCGAATAATTATGAGTATCAAAACCAAGCTGTTCATTTAAAAGAAAAGGTATGTTCTAAGAAAAGAAAGAGAGGAGAAAATAGTAAACCTGCATTAGAAAGTGGAATAGCATGCGCAGGTATGGCTCATATTGGGTCATACCTAATAAGCAATTCATTCTGGGTTATTCCTTCCAAAGATAATATACACTTGCTCATGAAGGTTTTGCCTTTAAGAGGGGTTGGAAGAATCTCTCAAGACCCAGATGATGCTGATAAGACCCGACAGTCGTGACCTGTTGACAAGCAAAAAGAGAAAGAAGTATGCTGTAAAAGATTGACGCCCATCATTCCAACTCACTTTGAGCTCAAGGAAATACTAATAAATTTGAAAATCCATATCTATAATTAGTACCAATCACCCTAGCAAATCCCACTGTTAAATTAAATTTAACAAATTTAATTCAACCAAAATCATTATATGTTCATCAACATGGCACATTATTAGAGAAGGTCATGAACAACTTAAAACACTGGAGAGAGGGTCCCCTGCATCGCATCCATGCTGTGGATGGAGAAACATGTGAACCAAAATCACAGTGCAATCCCAAGAAGCAGAAAGTAGCGAGCCGAAGAACTCTAGTTCCACTCTTGTCTTATAGCTGGAAGCTCTCAAAAGAAAAAGGAAGGAAAAAAAGTCTTTTGGATCACTTGGCGCCTAGCCGCATAGTCCTCTCCAGCTTTTATATATATGCACAGCATTTAATGTCAACCTTTTGAAGCCGATCTAAAAAGAAGCTTCAAACACCCACAGTACTGATCAAAGGGTAGAGAAAGGTACTAAAGCATTATAAGTAACAACTAAAAGGAAAAGGGGGTAAAAGGCTAAATTTGAAAGAAAGATTGAAGCCCATGTAACCTAACTGTTAGTAATCAAACATCAAACTAGCCACCGAACATCTAAGAAGAAAAGCAAAAACACCAACTTTGTCCTGTTTAACCATGTTGTTATTAAATTTTCTGTTCACTTTCACCAATGTCCTCCGCCCAACATTCCACTCCAATATCCAGTGGATTCTCCTTGCCCTCTTTTCTGGTCCAAATCGTTACTAGTGCTTGGGACCTGCTTCAATTCCCCCATAGGAAACAAAAGCCTTGCACCAATTTCTTGTACCCCTTGAAGATTCCCATAGCCAGTTTCAAATCCATCAAGAGGAAAATTGAGAGGCGGTTTGAAGTCTTGCATTGAAAACCCATTTGAGTACACTGCGTTGGAATCAGAAACCGACATCGACATGAATGAACTCAAGCCTCTTGAATTCATACCAATCTTCTGCAGCTCCATAGCATTGAGATGAGTCGAAGTTGAGGAGGAGCTAGAGTTTTGATGGTTGCTTTTGTTACCTGTGCTGTAGGGCACCTCTACGAATTTTGATAAGCCATTATAGTCTTCAGTTGATGGTGGATAAGCTAGGTTAAGGTCTTGACCTTCATAAATCTTAGGGTTCTGAGAAGCAGAATGAGGAGGACCAGGTGGGGTTAAATCGCCAAGCTTATTTGATGAAGCTGGTGATACTGATGATAAAGATCTCTTATTCTTCCTTGAACCTCCACCAACAGGAACATTCCTGAGGGAACCACCTTCCGTCCAGTACCTTCGACAAGTCTTGCAGAAGTATCTTGGCTGAGAAAGACTATAGTTATTATAGTAACAAAACTTGGTGTCAGTTGAATTGCACCTGGGACAGTTCAAAGCTTGATTCTTGTGAGGCCTAGCCCTTCTCTCCACCATAGGTCTTGACTCTTCCATGGGCTTAACAACTCCAATTCCCTGAAATTTTTAAAAGAAAAGTGAAAAAGAAACAAAAGACGGGAAAAAGCCATGATTTTAAGTGTTTGTCTCTTACAAAAATAAATTGATAGCAAAGATGAAAGAAGAAACAAACAAGACAGAGAAAACATAGGACGCTGCTTTGCACTTTGAAACATAACACCAGCAATAAAAACAAATAATAATAGTAACTTTTTCTCCAGGTCCTTTTATTAGTGGAAAAAGAAAGAAAAAAGTGCAGTCCTTTCTCAAAAAGAAAAAAAAAATTGAAAGATCTTAAACGACAGGAACATAATTTCAACTATCTCATGGCAAAAAGTGAAACTTTAAACAAAGTAATCAACGAGAGAAAAAAAAAAATCAAAACCCAAAGCTACATATATATTCTAGTAATTAGCTTTGCCTCAACCCAGGAAAAAAAAGTTCATGATTTCACGTGAAGAAAAACAAAAATAAAAGAAGACCCTCTTTACCTGCGGCCACTGAGCGGTATCCATGGAGTAGAGTGAGAGAAGGGGGAAAAAAGCTACGGAGTCTTCAAAAAGACGAAAATCACCTACTATTGCTAGGAAGCTGGTCTTAAAGCCCCACAAAAAAAAAAAAATTGAAACACTTCGAGAGATGGTGTCTGTGGTGGTTGCATGTGTTGGCCTACTATTAATAGGAAATGAAAGAGAGAGAGAGAGAGAGAGAGAGAGAGAGAGAGCACTTGAAATGGGGACAAATTTGTCTTTCTGTTGTTAATTCATTATTGCCATAAAAAAATTGGCCAGTCTATGCGTTAGGGAAATTTCTATTCATTGTGCACATCATTTTGCCAATAATAATAATATTCCTAAATTCTTGCAATAGTCAAATTACTCAATCTTGTTCTTTGTTGGGGGTGAGTTTAGTGCTTCTGCACTCTAGAAGTTGTTGGTTCTTTTCTGGCGAGAGAGAATGAAATTGATAGACTAAGGATTCTTCTCATTCTCTTCTCATTATTTTATTATTAACTTTCTAGTTTTGTTTTTTTTTTTTAAAGCCTTTGTTTTGGTAAAAAGAGAAAAGAGAATAGAAGGAGAACAAGTTTAGGTTAAGGTGATCATCGGTTTGCTCCTTCAAACCCCTTCATAACATCAATATTCAACATCAGGCTTCTACTACATGCAATTGCAAACTAGTTAGATATATATCCCCCTTAAACACTAGTAAATTGCAATGAAAAAAATGGAAATGCCTAGATAAAATTAAACAAAAAAAATGAGGGTGGGTTTAGCTTTTACTGCTTCATGAAGATCAAGGCCAATCAAATTAAGTAGGGTTTCATCATAAAGCGATCATAATGAGAAAATTTTTTTTTTTATGCAGACAAATGAACTTGGATAAATCATGTCAATTCTTAGCATAAAGCAAACTTGCCTTGAGCTATATAGCTATAGCAGATGAAAGTCTACCAGGTTATGATTCATTTACAAGACTTTTCTTTTGTTCATTTATATTTTATGATAATTTTTAGAAAAAATGGTAAAGAGAGAGAAGTGGATCCTACTAGGCAAAGCCATGGGCAAGCTAACGAAGCAGACGAGTACAAAGGGAAAAGAGGATTTGTCGGGGAAGAAAGCACAGGCTGCTATGTAGCAAAGAAGTGACAATTCCTAGGGTGGGAAACTATGATATCGCAGCTCAGCCGAAACTGAAGAACAAATGATCTCACGGCGGCGATAATGTTTCATATAAAATCAATCTTCTTTTTTTTTTGTAACTAGTGGAATCAAGTGTTTGGTCCAAAATATAAAAAAAAAAAGTGTTTGGTTAAAAAAAAAAAACAAGGGTTGACAATTTTGAGGTGGAAGAGGTTAATGTCAGGTAATTGATGGAAAATCTCCCTAATCAGGGCGACATGGAAATAATCACGTATTCTTTGTCAACTTTATTTATTTATTTATTTTTTAATTTTGAAGATAAACAAACGCGGTTCTTTATCTTACTATTCTATTTAGATTTGGTCATGAATATATAGTGTTTGGAAAATACTACTGTTTCCAATATTTTTGTATCAATATTTTTGTCTTACTTTGTGTGATGATAATTTATTAATTTAACTATAATTAACATTTTATTTATAAATTAATTGATTTACTCATAAATTAAATAATTAATTCATTTTTTAAGTTTATTCAATAAGATAATAATTGCACCTTATCGTATGAAGAAATACAAATACTTGAAAAAAAATTGAAAAGATAAGACTCATGATATTTTTGCCATATTCATATTATAGTCTATTATTAATTTCAATAGATTAATAATATACTTCTGAAATATTGTTCTAATTTCTTAATAAAAAAATCTTTAATTATAAGATTACATTTTAATAAAGAGAAATGTCAATCATTGTCTAGCGTTATTGATTAATATGATATTTAAAGAAATAAATTTATATTTAATATATTAATATAATTATTATATTATTTTTTATTGAATTTGATAAAAATAACATATTAAATATAAAAAATATTTTTAAAATAATATTTTAACTAACCTTAAAAAATGCCAATAGTATAAATTACCATTATCCATAAAAAAGTTGTTTTTACATTAATTCCTCAAAATTTAGTAGACATGGTAATAAGCTAACAAAAACGAAATTTGAAGAACCTTACTCGAGAGGAGGACAAAGCCAAAAGCCAAAGGCATTAGAAAGCCGTGCCGACCGAGCGAAATGGCTGCAGCGGCGGCTCGAACTCCAACTCGGCACTCGCGCGTCAACTATTCCCGACAGAAATAGTACACGTGGCGTTTAGACGTGAGATTCACGAAAACGAGTCTAGGAGCAAGCGAAACGTGTCCATGACGTAAGCCGTTGCTAACAGATCGAAGAATAATATTTTTTGGAAAGCAGAAGAGATCGGTCCCATGCGAAACGCACGTGCCTGTTCTGAAATGGCAAAAACATAAAAAAGAAAGAAAGAGAGAATCTGCCAGCCATAGCCGTTGGATGTATGGATGATTGATGAAATAAAAATCGGCTTCTAATCAACGGACGTCACGTGATGGCTATTGCACCAGGACGACGACGCGTCACACGTCAGCCAAAAAAAGCCACCTGACTCATCTGTCTTTTAATCTTTCTTTTCTGGTGTGTGTCGGTCGTAAAATTTTGAAATCCGACCAAAAATTGTGATATTCCATTTTATTTTTAAGGTATTTCGTATTTAAATTTATTCGTTTAATTAAAAAAATTTATGTATATTAAATTTTTTATAATTATTATAATCTCTTTAATAAAATTATGGTAATTTTTTATTTTATTTTATTAATAATAAATATCTCAATAATAAATGATATTTTTAACAATAAAAAAATAAATATTTTAATTAATTATTGTTTTATATTATAAAACATCATTAATTAAGATGTTTGTTAATATGAACACCTTAATTAATAAAGTAAATATTATTTTAAAAAATCAATTGCGACATTTGTTATTTTGAACGCTTTAATTGATTATTTTATAAATTATAAAATAAATCAATTAAGGTATTTGTGTTTATAAATGTCTTAATTGATCATTTTAAAATATTTATTTTCTGTTATTGAACTTTAAAAGATTAAACGACAAATACAATTGAATGATAAAAGTTAAAATGCTTGTATTTCTCTAAACCCGTCAATCTATTCACTTAGTATTTTGTTTCTTCATCTCTCGTGTCGTTGTTAACCGTGAATCATTCAACACCGTTGCACACAGCTTTTACTTGGTATGTGCAAATTTACTCATTTTTCTACATTGTTTATTCATCTATCTATGTTATTTTTTCTTCGTTACTATATATATTTATTTATTTATTTATATAAGCATTTACCACTGTCATCAACGTCGTATACCCTTTATGCATTACAGGCATGATATTTTTTTTATTGTTTGGTTGGAGTATTGTGGTTTGTTGAATGATTTTATGAAAAATGATTGTTATATTTTTTTTCATTAGTTTTGCTTAAACTCTTATGATATGATAAAACATAGTGTAGTTTACGCCCTGTAAAATATTATTGGTTTTATTTTGTGTAATGTATATTGGTGAATTTACTGTATAAGATATTGGTTATTTTTACTGTATGGGATATAAAAAGAGATAGTTAGTTGTATTTCATATAATTTTGATCAAAATCGCATGTATTATGACATTCAAAGAACACATGCCTTCTTCTACTAAACATGAAGAAGATATACCTGCTATGAAAAAAATTAAGGGGATATGGTAAACAAATTAAAATGAGTGGGATGAAAATTCACTTGGAGTTCAATCAAAATGAGTAGCATATGCTAAGTAGAGGTGCGAAATTGGCTAGCCACATTGGAACTATCGTCTGATAAAGTATATCTATTACCTACTCTACTTAGCAGATGATTTTTGATGATAAAAAATATAGTATATGCGATTCGATTGTGGTATGTTTATTCAACAACATCTAAATTTTAGTTAATCGTTAATTGAATTAAATTAATGTGTTGATTTTATTTAATTTATTCATTTTTTAGGAACTATTTGATGTCCCAATAGAGTATAAAAAGCTTATGTTACAATCGACTAGAAAAGCATTTAAAGATTTTAAAAACAGATTAATAACCCAATATATTTTACCGTTCACTGATAATTTTGATTTGTTGGCTTATCCTCCAATAACATATGCAGATGTTATCAATTATGAAGAGTGATCGCAGTTTATTTGATATCGTCTATCAGATGTATTCTCGGTATGCATACTTAATTTATTAATTTTTTATAATATTTTGTTTAATATAATTTTATCTGAATATGTGATTTATCTTTTTTTTTTTCAAAAAATCAAAGAACAACAAAAGAATATTCAGGCCCTATAATTATATCACTATCGGACATTGAGAAAAGATTATGCAAATGTCAAGCATAATCTTGTAAGTATTCAAATGCTTGTTTTATCTCGTATATTAATATTTATGAACATGTAAATAGAAATGTGAACTTTATAATGATTCTTTTTTTAGGAATCATTTAGCTTTAGAATCGAAGCTTCTAGATGGGATGTTTAGAAAAAAAGACATGCATAAAGATGGATTGTTTACGGATGAAACAACTGAAGAAATTGTTAAAAAAATTGTAAGTTTATTTCATTTTTTTATCACATATGATGAATGTGCTTTTATGCATTACTATATATTGTATTTGGTTATTTACGCACCATCATTTTGTGTTTTAGAATGAATTTACTATGAGATATAAATCTGATAACCTGCGAACTAGTGATGGTAAAGATCTGTTTTTAGCTTTAGGATCTAAAGACAAACATGATCGAGTTCGGGAGCTTGGTAGATTTATGTCACCATCACAGTTCTTCAAGAATTAACCCAACCTCTTAATGAAAAATACAGAATATAAAGCAATCATTTAGTAGCAACAGCAAAGATTTAATGAGCAAGAGTAACCTTTAAATGATCAACAGTAACAACTTGCAGCTTTGAAGGTAATGAATGTATAAACACTTGATACATAGCAAATTATGATGCATAAATGCATGAATGTATGTATAACAATGTATGAATAGATAAATGAATGCATGTACTAATATTTACCATATTATGATGCATGGTTGAATGCATATGATGATGTACTAAAGTTTGATATATACCAACTTAACAGTAAATAAAAGGATAAATAATATTCCTCAACATTTCATATGCCTAATACAAATGAAACTCAAAAAGTCCACTAATATGTCCTAATTAGGGTTATATTCTAATTATGGGTAGATATGGCTCTAACCTATAGTTGGTTTCTTATGTTTTACTATATGTGGTTTGGATTTACAATTTAAGGGTTCTCAAATTATTCCTTATATCTTTATCCATCATAGACTAGAGAGGCACCTCAATCTTCACTTATGATAGGCTATAAATAGAAAATATTCAATTTAAGTGAAAGTGCTTTGTTAGCCACTATGAAAGCATTAAAATCTCATAAAAGTGTAGGTCTATATTCCTTCTGAGAGAGACAAAGCTCGAGTATAGAGCTCATATTATGCATATGCACATGAATGACATAATAAATACTTTTAAAAAATAAATAAAGAAAACAAGAAAAAATCTTCCTAAAGAAAATCAAATTTATTAGGCTTTAGATAACACAAATCTATTTGCTAGCCTGACTCTTGACTAGCCCCAAACGGAATCACCAAACTGTTATAACGTACAAATCCATGAACTTGATTACTAGACATGGGCTTAGGAGTAATCACCATTTTTTTTAAGTGTGATTGGTCACCTAATTAAATCTGTCCCATTTAAAATATATGTCTGAAGCTTAGCTTATGTATCTTCAAAAGGTAAATTATAGTAATGAAACCAAGTTAGGTTAGGGAATACGATCATCAAATAATGGTACCAACTATTTTTATGTTATCCATTAAGTCTTAAAAATTTACACGTATTAAAAATTATTCTTAATTTACTCTAATATTTTAATAAAAAAATTAAGAAAATCCCTTCACTTCAGGAGTAAGTAAAAAAATAATAGTTTATCTTATAGAGGCTCTGTCGTTGGATTGCTTAATATTTATCTTATTTTTTTGAAATTTTAGAAAAATTTAATTTAAGAAAAATGTGATATTTCAACTTTTTCCTCATTTTTAAAATTATTTTTATTTATATTTAAAAAAAATTCACTTGAAAAATATATATTAAATAAATAAGCAAAATAAGAAATTTTACAAAAGAATATCTTGGCTCGGCTCAGCTACAAAAAAAAAATAATGGCACGATGGCTCAATACGCAGCTCGGCTCGAGGCTTGTGAGATGCTAGTTACTAGATCTTGGTGTTACAAGTCTGGTCTGCAATCAGGTTGACATTTAGGTCAGGTCAAATCAGGTTTATGCTTGAGGAAATTGAGATCGTTGTTAGAATTTGAAAGTATTGTTGGAATCCTTGTTGGGAACTTCAGTGCTCACTGAAAAATATTACCTGAGCCTGGGAACCTCACCAAGAAACTGTCATGAATTGAAAAAAGCCTAAATTTTAAACTTAAGCTACCTAAAACTTTTTAATTCTCAAGTTCTCCTTTGTGATTTTTATGTGTTTTGTTGTGTTGTTTATAGCATTATTTATAGGAAAAATTAAGAGCTTCTGATAACTCCAAATTCAAAATTTGAAACTCTAAATTATCATAAAAAATGTATCTTTACAAGTCCCAACCCAATTTCAACTTTAATATAGCTTGAGTTATCACTCAGATTCTTTCAGTTCCTTTTAAACTTATCACCAAACTTCTTTTAATTTCAAAATTCTCTTTTTTTTTATATAATTAGACAATTAGAAGTAAGAATGAGATAAAAAAATAAATAAATAAACAAATAAAGATAAAAAAGATAAATAATAATGATATATAAGGGGAAAAAGAAAAATAAATACAAAAGGTAGAATAGAAAAAGAAAATAATGAAAAGATAATAAAAAAGTACAAATAAAAATTTCAGATTTAACAGTTGAACTTGAAGCAAATTCGAGTTCAACCAGTTCGAACCAAGACTAAATAAGGTATCTACAAATATTATTGATTATTTTTTAATCACATCATCTCACCATTAATAAAATTATTGTTATAGAATAAAATGTTTAATGAAAATAAAGTTACAGTGACTAATCATGATTATTTTAAATATAAAATCTAAAATAATAACATATTTCAAGAGTTAAACAACAGTTAATCCACCTTTAAATCCTAATTTTCAAAGGTCAGATTGATTAAAAGGTCAAAGCTTTATCCTAGTTTTCCAACATTAAAGATGATTAACGTTATATTTGGATAAATATTAGTAAAAGAAAAGATAAGAACGTAAAGGAAGAAAAAAATTTTTAAAAGAAAAGAAATGATATATGTATCATTTATTTGGATAGCTAAAATTAATAAAATAAAAGAAAATAAAAGAATATTAACAACTATTATTTGATTAAATAATGAAAAGAGAAGAAAATAATTTATTATATTATGTTTTTTATTATAACATTTGATAATCTTTGTTTTTACTATAATATTTACATGTATGTGTTAACGTATACCATATTTTCAATTTTCTTTTATTTTTTCATAAAAATAATCATTAATGAAATTTATAGAATTCACAAAAATAAGAGGAAAAATTAGAGATAATAAAATTATTGATAAATGATATTTTGTATTTTCAATCTAATTTTGAAATTCAAAATAGTACACTTTTAATTTAAAAAAATTAATAAAGATATAATAGTCATTTTATATTTTAAAATTTTTATTATTTTCTTTTTCCTTCATTTTCCCCTCAATTTGAGATAATTAAAAAATGAAGAAAGTTAAGGAAAACAAAAAAGAGCTAAGCATACATTCCTTTTCTTTATTTTTATTTATATCATATACAAACAAGAGAAAGGATTCCCAATTTTCTTTTGTTGCCTTGCCATTTATTTCTTTTTTCTCCTCTTACTTCAATCTAAATATAATGTAAGAGTAGATATGATAATTCATGTATTTGTATTGTATAAAAATATTAACAATTTTTGTATTCATATCATATTTTATATAAAAATTACGTATCTTAATTTGTGTTAAAATAAAAATACAAAATGTATTATTTTGATTTTCTTAAATTTATATTTAATTTTTATTAAAATTTTAAATAGTATCATCTTTTTATTTTTTTCATTCGTATGATATTGCTATGTTTAGTTTTAAATTTTTAGATCTACTTAAAAAGCTACAGCAATAGTTCCAATGGTTTTGATTTTAAAACTTACAGATTTAAAAATAGTTTGAGGAAAATCTGATTTCAGAAAAGAAATGGAAGGTTGAGAGGAACTTTCGGATGAATTTCGATGCAACTTTGACAACTGCGAGCGACGACAATGGGCCAACAGTGGCGACGACGATGGTTGCTATAGCAGATTCTTGGGTGGGGCCTTCGGGCAATGGACGAGAGAAGGGCAGAAGGTTAGTGAAAAAGCTCTAGACGTAAAGAAAGGGAGGAAAGGAAAATTTTTTTTTAGAATTTATAGTCAAAATCGTACATTTCAAGTAAAAGAAAAAAAAATTCACATGTAAGTGCCTATGTAACATTTACATATCCGAAAAAAAAAATCACATCATTAATCTACATGACCAAAAAATTATCACGTGAGTGACTTTAACAATAGTTTTATAATTTTATTACATTTTAAACTGAAATTTTATATAAAAAGTAATAATTTCATTAAAAAAATATAATAATAGAAAGAGTCAGGTAATTTAGAGGCATTTCCCAATTAGACATTTTACCACAAAAGATTCAATCAACAAAAGCTGTCATCTTAACTCGTACATTTTGCTTAATGTGAAAAGGATAAAATGGGTTGAATATGAACCGTCAAATATTTGAGAAAAAGAAAAAATCTAAAACATCAAATACTTCTTACTTTCCAGCAATGGTAGGGACAATAGGAATTGTGAGCTTAAATACTGGTACAACAATCTTCCATAAGATGATATATCATAAATCATAGTGCTGTTCTTCCAAGTCATTCGTTCAATTTGCAAACATCAATGAATTTCTGAACGGCATTGTGGTACTGGGTTCCCTGTAATAAGCAAAAAAGTTTTACAAAGACGTTAATAATGTTTGCTACTTAAGATCCAACCATGGATGGTTAGTTGCAGATTTACTGAACAGATCATAGTTTCCAGATAAAAGTGCAGCATAGGATGAAAATGTTATAGTTCAAGCAAGTGCAGATATATTTGGTCCCAGTATAAGGCATAATAGACACACGAAAGTCATACTTGAGATGCATCGAATTGCATTCTCACTCACTATGTTTACTTAATATAGTCTCTGCTGCTATTATAATCTACATAACAGTGATTAACTTAAAGAACATAAAAATCTCAAGGGACGACCTCCTCTGCTCGGGATTGTGATGCTGATGCTGATTTCAGTTGTTTAGGGTTCACCACAAAACCAAACCCTTTAGATAACCCCCTTCCCCATGTCAGCATATGGAGAGATCGGCCCCAAGCCTACAATTATTATTTAGAGCCAACATGACCATGGTTTTAGTCCAGGGGGGCTGCATCGTGAACAGGAGAACCACACTAGCCCCTTTGAAATACGAACCGATAAGAGAAGGTATGACATGGTAAGTCTACTGTAGATTTGTTTTCCCATGTACTGAAACCTACCTGACATATTGAAGGATTTGACATAACTGCCATTGAAGATTTAATTCATGCTCGTACGAGAACAAGCTGAGACCATGGAAGTTCCAAGTTCAATACCCCGCCACATCAGTAGATAATAAAAAAATGAGAGAGTTAAGTAATTTAATCATCTTAAGGACAAGGCCATTTCATGTGGCTGAAGTGATTGGCAGTAGGGTTGGGTTTAGATAGAGATCCAAGATTCAAGCCTTATGGTGTGTTGATTTGTGTAGAAAAAAAACTCATCTAAAGAGCAAGGAAAAGAAGAAAGAAACTACCTCCCAATAAAGTTGGTTGCAATCCATGCATTGCCAAAATTCTAAATTCTTGTCAAACAAGCAGTTAGGAATTCTTTGGAAACCCTTTGCAGCTTCAATTGCCTCTTCTGTTGTCAGCGGCTTTTGGATAAATCTCCCATTGCATTTGGTGCACCTCGACATCAGCTGATCCTCACTAATTTTCAATTGGAAAATCTCAATTACCTGCAAAATGTTTATGGAGTTTAGGCCTCAAAAATACATTTTATCATTTTAATTTTATTTTGGCCTCAAAATACCAAGTTGAACTTGTAGGCCATAACTCTCCTAATGACTGTGATAGCATACACACCTCCAGTAGCTGTTCGTTTTTCAGAAGATTCTTCACCCTATATATTTGATTCCTTATCAGATATTGGTGTCTCAATAGCTTGGCATCTCGAGTCAAAAGCACTCTTTTTTCTTTGTATGCTTGATCTATCAGCTCCCTAAATGCAATAAAAGTTTGACAAAAGAGTTATTACTTCCATTGCTAATATATGTTCAGAAAAAAACTACCTATATATACACACACACACACACACACACACACAGAATTATAAAAAAAAGTATTCAGCAACATATATCTCCAAATTATGATGAGAGGAAAACCTGGGTTCCGGCTTTTTGGAATGTGGAATAGCGGCATCTACACCAACACAACGTAGATGTTTCGCCAAGCCTTCAACCTAAATAAGCTTCCCATTACACTCAAACTTAAAGAATAAATATTAACAGTGAAGTCTTCACATGATCTTGTATGTTAGTTCGAAGGAGTCCTGGAATAAAACTAAATAGCTGATAGTACAAGGAAGAACGAGAGAATTTTATTGCAGACCAGTACTAATATGATAATCAGAATTTTACTGCAGACCAGTACTAATACGATAATCTTACAATTACGTACAATAAATCTTTGTTTCTGATTCAGTCATGATCTAAAAAAGAATTATGATGTGCAATTAAGCAATTTACTTACCATCACATCACACAAAAACTTAGGGCATCCATCACCCCCCAAGGAAATATCCCATGGTGGGGGGCCTTGCCAGTCACCAGAATTCTCTAGCTGCTTTTCTCTGCAATCAACCATCAAGGACCCTTTTTTTCCTTTCTTTTTCGAAGTTTTAGGAATTCTATCAGATTCTCGCAACAAAAGTTTTTCACCATATTTTCTTACTATCTTCCAGAGAGATTCATCCATAGGCTTAGTTTTTCTGATAACCTCCACTCCCTTGGCTATTCTTTCACAGTCTTCAGAAGATGCAGTAGCCTGGACAATATCAAGTGCGTTGCAAAATTTGGTCCCAATAAGCTTATTATCACCATCAGGCATCTCAAGAATATCTTTCAGTCCTAAACTAACATTAAATTGACGCAGTTCCTTGACTTTATTACATGAATGCCCTGTGATAAAAGGTGTTACATATATTTTCATCATAAATAATTCAGGCAAACTGGATAAGACAATAAGAATCTAACAGGGTAACGACAACAAATGCCCTGTTCAAAAAGATGCTCAAGCAAAAAAACTTGATTTGCCAATTACAATGCTAAATAAACGGAAGGATTGTATGTAAATAACTGGAACCTTTGCAATCACTGGAGATGCAAGCTATGGAATACACATTATGGTCATAACAAACACAGAGAAAATTGGGAAAGAAAGTTGGGTGCATTCGCTCCAGAAAATGTTGTCTAAATTCTAACATGATAAGAACGTATATTAATTTGCTTGATTGGAAAAGAATCATAAAAGCAGCAGGATGAGAGACAATTTATGTTTGCATGGAAAAGTTGAATATATCACCTATGCACAGAGTGCTCTAACATGACAAATAGAACATATATTAAAAACATATAAAATATTGTTTAAATCTTGCACCTTATTCATGTATTACTATTTATCTTTTCTTTGACTAATCCATAATTGCAGAAGAAGGTTTCAGAAAGGTTATATTGAGAGAAGTTAAGGCTGCTTTTAATGCCTTTGCAAAAAATATGTTCAAACAGCCATGCAAACAAGGTAATTCCTTAGATATTCCTTAGAAGAATCCTGCAAAATATATTAAATCTTTCTGTATCCTTTACAGATTTATATACTCATTATAATCATACAGTAATATTCAATAACCATCAAATTACCAAATCATAAATCAGAGTAATGCAGAAATTTTATTTTATAAGCATCTTTGGGCTTCATATTTTGTAAATGTTGTAAACCAAAGCAAAATCACAGGCGATGTGGAAAAATAATATAGAAACCATATATGCATTTAAATAATTCCCACCTGCAGCAAAGTCTGTAATACGAGAAATCATATGAATAAAGCAATGACAAGTTACAAGAGGTGATATGCTATATTGTTAGTCAATAGAAAGCCAGAATGCTGTAGAAAGTAAACTCAGAGAAACACTACATCTAGCTAAACTCAGAGAAACACTACATCTAGCTTTCTCAAATGTCAAGTAGCTGGGGAGGAAAAGTGTTCAAAACAAGTGATTTCACCAACAAAAACAAAACATTTCAAAGATACAGCAATTTTTCCCTAAAATTTAGCATAATAAATCTGATCACAATCTACAAATTCCAAATTCAGAGATAATATTCACCTTCTTTGACAACCTTGGCCTGGAAGACTTTGAATATTCCAAGCAAGCAGTGTGCATCTGTAGCTGCATATCTTATCTGCTCTTCTGTAAGAGGACGATGTGACCAATCACTACATTGAAGTTCCTAAAAAGATTCATTTATTACATTAACAAGTTGCTATAAGAACTAGCAGTGATTAACATATAATCCTATAGTAATTAAAGAACCTAACATGCGACTTCCAAAAGCTACTAAGTTTAGTGGTTATTTCGTACTTACAAATTAGATGCAGGCTAAAAGAATGAGTTCCACAGGAGAGAGTGTTAAAGACTTTCGTACCCAACCAATAAAAGGGAAAGAAGAAAAAAGGAAAATAGAAACTGAACTGTTTCCACCATCCAAGATTTAGAAAGTATAAAACTTATCATCTACATCCTGATTTTTATGCTTCCTTACATGAATTAAAAGGGGAAAAAGAGCATTTTTGGTGATGAAAATCAAATAAGGATACTCGTTCTAAAATGTAAAACTCTTATAATAAATAGTAATAACAAATCATATCCTATCTTGTCATTCATCATCATCAGTTTCCTTACAACCATTTGTAGGATGTCCCTTCTCACTCATTTCCTTGCACAAAACTATATTGGTGAGAGCTAGTAAACAACCTTGAAAACATAAATATTTCAGTGGCATTATATCAAAATTAAACCAAGAAACCATTGATTATCTTGCATTCACAAGTGAAGTGACTACACATACCAAAGTTACAAAACCAATAGAACTCTCAAATTAACTAAAATTGATCAAAGCATAATTTTTGAAACTGAATGAAAACTTGGGTTGGGAGTTTAAAAAAAGTACCTTGCAAAGAGAAAAACCCAACACTTCTTTACATATAGCTGACAAACTCTTTGTATCCTTTGATACCTTCTTCCCTTGTTTATGTTGCAAAAACTTGTAGACGTTTGTGATGTCCAAATAGGGCTCCACCTATTCACCATTTTTAGACAAAAATTTAGCACAATTTACAATGAAAATATGATTGATACACCCAAAAGAAAAAAAAAAAAAAAGCTTACTTTATCAAAGCCAGGATCACATCCTTGGGCACGAAAAGTGGAAGACAAAAAAATTAAGTCTTGCTTGAACTTAAACCCCAATTTCAATATATCTGGGGAAACAAACACGTCTTTTAACAATTCCCATATCGAAGATAAGGGAATTGAGGCGAGGTCGAGCAAGAAGACCAACGACTCGTCCCACTGGGCTGGGTCGTCTCCGAGTTGACAGGCGAGTTGGAGAAGGGTCACCATGGGGAAAGTGGACTGTTGTGACCGAATGGGCTTCCATTCGGCGTCGAGTCCGATGAGCGTGGATCGAGACAGGGCCCGAGTCAGGTGAGTGAACTCGGGCGAGTCGATCGATGAGACTATATGAACATCCATTATAATAAGAGAAAACTCCAGTGCAAAAGTTAAATGGGGTTACTACTTTTAGAGCCTTCGGTTCTTCATCTATTGGGCCGTTGTAAAATGAACTTGGGCTTTATTTCTTTAGCATTCTATAATTTTACGAACTCATGTGGCGATCTCATGTTTTCACCTTCCAAACCTAAACAATGGGGCCGAAACCCTTTCCCGCGAAATCACCTAATAGGCTCCTCCCGATATAATCTACCGCCCAAAATGGGCGAAGAGGAAATATCCGAAAATTATTCTTCAGCTCCCTTCCTTTTACCCCACCCTTTGTTTTTACTTATCAATGGCGGCGGTGGCTTCGTCAACGACGATGGTTCTGAGGCGTAGAACTCGAGCTTCGGAGCGCTACCCCGACACCCTCTTCAAAGACCAGGATGGCTTGGATTGCGACGACGTTTACTGCGAGAGATGTGGGTGTGGTGATTTTGGGTCAAAGCTTTTGTTGTGCGCCACGGCCACGTGCGACAAGGGATATCATCTGTTTTGCCTTGGACCCATTCTTGTTTCGGTGCCTAAGGCTTTTGGTTCTGTCTCTCTTGCTTCAACATCAAGAAACCCCAATGTATGGTTTTTCTTCCCTTAATATATGGTGTTCTTTTTTCTGGGTTTTAATGATGGTTCCCAAGTGTGAATGTCTTGAAACATGTCAAAATTGTATTTCGGTGTTTAGTTAGTCTAATGACTGCTGAATTTCATTATATTCGGTGTTTCCTTTTGTTCAAACCAAAATTGTTGATTTCTTTCGGATTCAAAGGTCATATGAATCAACAGAAAAGCTAAGTCAAAGTAGGTAGCAGAATTAATCTCTCAAATTATTTTACCCCTCATTCTTTCATAGAATTATAAAATTATTTGACAGGTTGAGATTAATCAGTGTAATTGTTTTGTTTGTTCTTTAGGTAACATTAGAAAAAGAAAGAGAGCTAGTGGCTTAGCCATGTCAAAGAAGAAAAGGAAATTGTTGGCATTTTATCCAACAGAAGACACTCAAAGGAGATTGGGACAAATAGCATCATTGGCAACAGCACTGAATGCCTCTGGGACCGAGTACAGTGATGAGCTCATCTACAGGCCTGGCATGGCACTAAGGTCAGCAAATTGTGCAGCTCTTGAGAAGGGAGGAATGCCGGGAATGGAAAATTCACTCCTTTCAAGTAATTCACTTAAAAATTAAATAGTATAGTATGAGATTTGCAGGCACGATTAGGCTGATTAGAAGTGAGTCACCTTATCCATTAGGCCATGGTTGCCTCTTATAACTGAAACTCCATTACTACATTTTATAACTCCTACGATTAATTTTGATGAATTGCATTTCAGGTTCTACCCAAAGAAGATAAAGAGACCTTAAATTTATGCAAGAGGATGATGGAAAAAGGGGAATGACCTGTGGAAGGGTATATAAGATGTTATATTTTTATGAATTGTTAGTGTATTACAGTATTATGTACATTTAGATTCCTGAGCTGTGAATTGTTGTTTGATTTTTGGCAGGTTCACTGTACAGGCTGATAGATATATAAAGGATTTAACTATAATTACAGAATATGTTGGAGATGTTGATTACTTGAAGAACCATGAACATGATGATGGAGATAGCATGATGACCCTGCTTCATGGATCAAATCGTTCAAAAAGCCTGGCAGGCATGGTAGCATTGCCCGCTTTGTCAATGGCATTAACAACTTCTCACCCTAAGTTGATCTTCAACATGTTTTTGTTCTTTGGCCTGTTCAGATGTACTAAACTCGACTTGTATAGTATAAAAGTATTGTTTATCTTAATGCAGGGATGGTAGAAAGAAGCAAGATGTAAAATGTGTTAAGATATGATGTCAATGGGGAATATCGAGTTTTGCTGATTGCTAACAGAGATATTCCGAAAAGGAGAAAAATTGTACTATGATTACAATGGATATGAGAATGAATACCCTGCAGAACATTGTGTAGCTTTTAAGTTCTCCCTGATTACTGATTCCCATACTAGGATATAGCTGATGCAATTAATTTATAAAGTTAGCAAGCTAATTGTATGCACATGATTGCTTGTCCCTGGTTCCATAGTTTTTTGTAACTCATTTAAGCCCTTTTCTTTGAGGGTTTAACATTTTGTTCAATAAGGAAATCCAATTTTTGATCCTATATCTATGTACTTTTTCCACTTTTTTCTTCTCTAAAAAATAAAGTTTGGGTTGGACATTTTTTAGTCGGAAAAAGTCTGGGTTAGAGGAGGTTGTTTCCTTTCACGATCGGAGGGTAAGTTTAAGAGATGATTTTCATTGAAATCTAAACCTACGAAGTATAGGAGAATGGCTCAAAAATCTTACTTTATCAGGCCTTTGTGTTCAAAGCCCATTTGTTTACTTTCTATCCAAGGCCTCTTCAAAGCTAATGTTTTCGACGAATGAAATTTGATCAAAGCAACTCATCTGCGCTAACTTCAGGTGTGAGATGCATTATATATAGACAAGATCTGATATTGAATGTTATGTGGATGACCAGATTATACCAGAGCTAAAGCTACGTTGGGAAGTTCAAATTTTCAAATCCTTGCTTAGAGCATCAGCTTCTTGTTTTCTTCTCAACAGAGTACGCTTAGCAATATTACTGCAACTAATAAAGCAATCCAGTTAAAACCCTCCACTCCAGTTGGACGAGATCTAACAATTCAAATCACTTTCAGAATTGAAATGTGTTTTAAAATAATGATGGTGGTGGATAGTGAGGAAGTTCAATTCATGACTCAATACTAAGTTTGTACAGAAAGCAACATGGACAGTGAGTCCCCAGAAGTCCAGAACACATTGTTTCAACCTTATGAATTTTGATTAAACCTCAGGACCACCCTATTGATTCAGAAACAAAACCAAAAAAAAAAAAAAAGAACTCTTTTAGGGTGGTCTAAAATTTAAGTGTGTCTAAACTTAGGCAATTAACTTCCTCCTTGATTGATTTCACTTCCAGTGTAGCTAATCCTTCTCTCAAGCCAAGGTGGTTGGTAACAAAATCTGGTATGTATAACGCTGCAAAAATTTGTAATGCCATTCGAGATAAGCAGCCGCGAGTGGATTGAGACAAGGTGATTTGGTTTCGGCATAATATCCCTAAACATGGACTGGTAGCTTGGATGGCTATCCTAAACAAGTTGCTCACTCTTCTAAGACTTTCCTTTTGGAATTTCCCTCTTGCAAATTGCTTGTTCTTCTTTTGTAAGCAAACTGATGAGGACAGAGATCATTTATATTTCTCTTGCTCTTGCAGTAAGCTAGTATGGAGTTAGGTGTTGTATTATTCTGGTTTTCGAAAGGATGTGGTTGATTGGTTAAATGAATTTGGTTGGATAAAGTTCTTGAAAGGAAAATCTCTGCCGGTGATAACCCTAAAACTAGATTGGAATGCATGCATCTATTTGGATGGAAAGGAACAATGGGAAGTTTAGAGGGAAAGCTTATGAAGCTGTGAAAATTTTTAACTATATAGTTGATTTTATAAGGTTTAGATTGCAAGGTTTTCACAAGCAACAAAGTACAAGTATTTTCTTCTTTGTCAGCACTGAAAACTTCTTGACTCTTTAAAATTCTAGTTTACAGTGTATATGCTTTATATGTATAATTTTTTGTACAGTTTGTTTTTGTAACAGGTTCTGCCCCTGCCTTTTTGGATAAATAAAAATATGCCATTTATATAAAAAAAATTGTCTAATAATATGCCATTTATATAAAAAAAAAATTGTCTAATAAATTTTACAGTTGCTTGCGAAAGCATAAGCATTGACAGGCTGATGAGAGAGGTGTGTATGCCGTCAGATTAGGATCCGATGCACCCCCACAGGAGAAGTGGTCTACTCACGCTTTTGTTAGTAAATTTGGGACTACCATCCCCCTCAAACAAAAGGGTGGTCCTTTTCCATTGTTCTAACCTGTGAACCGGAAAATTTTATTATTTTATATACTTTTCATTGGGTGTTGGTTTACCGGGCTACAAAGCAGGTAATATCTGTCACCAGAGATTTTTCAAGCGAAAATTCAAATCCCAAGGGAAAGGGCTTGAGTTGTTTCGTCCTAAAAGAAATCGCAGCGGTCCTAAAACGTGCACCAACTAAAATCATTATTAAAATCCTCGCTCTCGCTCTCTCTTTTATTGCGGTAATTGTTAGGAAAACGAGATTCAACTTTATATAATTAATTTTGGATTAATCAAAAGTTATGGGTTTTGATTTTTTTTTTTTCACAGAGTCTTAATTATTTAATAAAAAGAGGTTAAACTATTTTAAGATAGTGTCGTAAACCAAAAAAATAAAAAACAAAAAAAAATAAAGAGAAAAGAAATAAAAAAAAATTGATTGAACAAAAGTTGATTCGTAATTTAATTGAGTTAAAATTTTATCAGTAAATTTATGATTTAGAGTTCTATATTTCTAATAGTGAAAATCGAGTTTGAAGCTCTCTAGAAACAAATTTAAGGTGTATTTGTTGAGTCACTTATTTGGTAAGATTTCTCCAATTGTCTCTTTCTAGTTATTGATTAACTCTAATTTTAGTTAGAAAAGAACTTTGTATATCTATTATTTGATAGTGAAAATTTTTTTAGTGGTCTGTGATTTTTTTCTCTACATTAGAGAGTTTTTCATGTAAATTTTGGTATACTTTTATTTTTCTTGCGTTTTTTTATTGTTGATTGTTATTTATTGCTGTGGGTTTATTGCAATATATTGTTTCTGTGTTGTTATGTTTACTGCTTCAGGCCTAACAAGTGGTATAAGAGCCAAAGTTATGGCGGGTTCGAGTTCTAGTGGTGTTGTTGGGGGGAGATTATTGACAGATCGGAGGTTGGCCGCATCCATTAACTCCATGTGCTCGAACGTCGGTATTAAAAAAGTTTGACTTAGATGCAGCGAGTCTATGATAATATACAAAAGCGAAACACCTAAGTGGATATATGTTGAGTTAACCTGAAGTGTAAGATTGAGAGAGCACTGAAACAACCTAGGTAGCCAAGTTAAGTGTTGTGTCTTGGTCTAAAAGTGCACTAAAAATGTGAGGTTACCTGGCCCAAAGAAGGTATTGATAGGACTTATTTGCATGAGAAAATCGAGATAGGACTTAATCAAAACTCACAAGTGAACGTAAGAGGTTATTAGGATATGGTTAACATGTGAGTAAAGAATCTTACATAATTAAAAAATCTAAATGAGATATCCTATATATGCATGAAGGACCTAAGAACCTAATAGCTTAAACTTTTGAGCTCAAGTGGTGTCCAACATATATATAGGCTCTCTGATATGCTTTAATGGGCTCTAAATGTGATTTATTTTTCTAACAAGTAGTATCAAAGTCAGCTTTAGAGGTACTAAAAGATGTGCCATCGAGGACGGTAAACCATCATTGGAGTGAAAAAAGATATCACGATCTTGAAGTCAAGCCAAAGAATCTCATATCGATTGAGTACTAGAGTTGATCTTGGGATATAAGGGTTCACACATTTTTCTCTTTATGAGACATTTTTTGTGGGATAAAATCATGAGGTCAAAGAGGTTAGAGTGGATAATACCTCATAAGAGTGTAAATCGTGATTGTCAAGTTAATCTGAGACATCGAATGAGTGCATACCCGGGTTCTAGAGCTGTGCAAGCTTGAATATTAAGTCTTAACCCATAATAAGTGTAAGAAAAGATGCTTCATACTTTTATTTGAAAGTTTTTAAGTGTAAAGCATTCATGCATATGCCAAAAGAGCAGATGTCAAAACTTGATAATAAAGCTACACAATGTATGTTTGTAGGATATGATGATGAAAAATTTAGCTATAGGATATAATATCCAGTTAAAAAAAATAGTCAAAAATATAGATGTGACTTTTCCTGAAAAAACCTATAACAGACCTTGAAAAAAATAAAAAACTTACACAAGTTACTATTGAGTATGATGTTTTAATATCGATAAGGGTTCTAAAGAAAAAGTCACAGATGGTAAAAATAAGTAAGAAATAGAACTTGAAGATATGAATGAGCCAGCCATAGTTAGTGATGAGTCAGATGCAATAAGTTTTGAGTAAAAAGAGCAATCATCTTTACCTAAGAGTGTTAAGTAGGGGGGATACCTTTGGTATCAAGTGGTGTAAAGTTTTAACTTGAAAGATCTACTAGAGAGTACAAGCCATCTACTAGGTATCCAAGTTTAGGTTTTATTTTAGTTACCAATAAGAAGGAGCCAGAGAACTTCTAAGATGTGGAAGAGCAATCCTCTTTACCTGAGAGTATTGAGCAAAGAAAGATACATTCGGTATCAAGTGGTGTAAAGTTTCAACCTAAAATATTTACTAGAGAGCATAAGCCATCAATTAGGTATCCAAGTTTAGATTTTATTTTAGTTACTAGTGAGAAAGGAGCCAGAGAACTTCTTAGATGTGCAGGCTACTCTGAATAGAAAGCACTAATTAAAAGCAATGAAAGAAAAGATGAAGTCATTGTGGAAAAATGATATTTATGATCTTGTTAAACTTTCGAAATAAAAGAGGTCGTTAAAAAATAAATGAGTGTTCAAGTTGAAAAAAAATGGTGATAAGCTAGTGAGGTAAAAAGCTCGATTGATGGTAAATGATTTTTCTCAAAAATCAAGCATCGATTTTGATGATATCTTTTTTTCAGTTGTGAAAATGAGTTCTTTTCGAATGGTACTAAGATTAGTAGCTAATTTGAATCTTGAGCTTGAGCAACTTGATGTCAAGACTGCATTCTTGCATGGTAACTTACAGTCGAACATTTATATGAATCAGCATGAGGTTTTGAAGTGAAAGGAAAAAAGTACTTAGTTTGTAAATTGAAAAAAAACTTGTATAGCTTGAAACAAGCTCCGTGACAGTAGTACAAAAAGTTTGATTCTTTTATTGTGAACCATAGTTATAAAAGAACATAGCAGATCCTTGTATATATGTCAAAAAATTCTCTAATGGTAACTTCATTATTCTCTTATTATATGTTGATGATATATTGATTGTGGGATAAGATGCTAATATGATTTGCAGGTTGAAAAAATAATTGTTTAAGTCTTTTGACATGAAGGATTTAGGTCTAATAAAGTAGATTTTTAGTATGGACATTATCCGGGATAGGAAAGCTAAAAAGCTATGGTTGTCATAAAAAAAATATGTTAACAGGTGTTTAGTAGATTCAACAAGCAACATGTTAAATCAATTAGCAGTCCACTTGTCAACCATTTTTATTTGAGTAAAAAATCTTATCCGACGTCTAAAGAAGAGCAACTAGCTATGTCTAGTATTTTTTATTCTTCTGCAGTTAGTTTTTTAATGTATCTTATAGTTTGCACACGGCTTGACATTGCTCATGCAGTTGGTGTAATGAGTAGATTTCTTTCTAATCTGAGAAAGGTTCACTGGGAAGCAGTGAAATGAATTTTTAGATATTTGAGAGGCATATAAAAAATGTACTTGAGTTATGAAGTTTCACAACAAGTTCTAGAAGGATTTATTAATGCTAACATGACAACTGATCTTGATGGTAATAAATCTACTTCAAGATATTTATTCACTTTTGTAAGAGAAGCTGTATCTTGACAATCTAAGTTATAAAAGTGTGTTGCTTTGTCAACTACAGAGGCTGAGTATATTGCAGTAACTGAAGCAGATAAAAAAATACTTTGGATG